CTCTACCCCTCTGCCTCTCTCTGCTGGCCTCTTTGCAATCCCGGTGGCAGGTATGGTTTTCCCAGAGCGGCGTGCTGAGCATCCCCAGGGACAGGCGAGGCAACGGGACAGGGCAGGAGGGCCTTGTTTTGGCCCGTGATGCCCTGACACCACGGAGATGGGCAGGCAGTGCATGCAACGGGACTGGCAGAGTGACGGGCAGGGGAACCTGCACAGCAGGGAAAAGCAGGCTGGAGCATAAGAAATACTGGAGCAGGAATACAAAAAAGGCCTCCAGGCACGGCAGCAGGTTTCAGCAGCATCGGGGCACTGCCACATCTGGAAGTGATTTGCTGGGGTTGGGGAGAGGGAGAGCCGGCGGCTCCCAGAAGATGCCACTGGAAGGGCTCAAAGCACGCCTTTGAGCTCGCTCGCCCCAGCCGATGACCCGTGTGAACATCCTGGCTGTGGTGATTTAGGAGCCCAGAAGCATTTTTTTCAAGCAGTGGGTCCATTTCCCCTTGCCGATATTTAAATGCCCTGCGGCCATCGATCCCCAAGGGCACTCAGTGCCTGCAAGCCTCTGGTCCTTCACCTTGAGCACGCAGCAGCCTGAGTTTTGGAGAAAGTTGGCAAAGCTCCAGGTTTTGCCCAGCTTAAAACACAGTTTTGCGACACGTTTGGGCGCACAGGGAGAGGCTGAGCCCAAAGCTATTCCTGAGGAAGGATTTATGCTCGGGAGACCTTGGGGGGCTGAGGAGTGTACCCGCCTGGCTGGAGGCAGCGCATCCCTCTCTGACCCTCACCTCCCTCTCCAGCCCTCGCATCCCTCTCCGGCCCTCGCCCCCCTCTCCGACCCTCGCCTCCTTCTCCGACCCTAGCATCCCTCTCCAAACCTTGCCTCCCTGCACTGGATGCATGGCTGGGGGGAAAACCGGAGCGTAAAACAGAGCTGTAAATCTGCCTGGAAGCTGTTGGGGAAGCAGTCCCTGGAGGATGCTGTTTTGCTTTGGGTTGCTGTGCTCTAATTCTTAAAAGCTTTGGCCCAAAGATAAAAAGCTAAGCCTCTAATCGCGTCCCACAGGAGCACTCCTATGGAGAGCAGCTCAGAAACACCTCGCTCTTCGGCCTCGCCTCCTGTCCGTGCTCTTCCTCTCCTCTCCATCCCACCTCTCTGGCTCTGCTATCCCTTGTGGCTATTCCACCTGCTCATCCAAATGATTCTGGATGGGGCCTGGGCTCCCCTCACCCCGTTACAGCACCATTGCCCAGCAGCGATGCTCTCTGGTCCTCACCAGCTGTCCTCTCTGTCCGTCCCCATCCCCTCTGCAGGCGTCTTCGACAATTGCTCGCACAC